TCCTCCTCCTCCTTAAATTCATAGCATGCACTTTGCCTATTGCTGGGAAGGAAACTGCAGGGAAGTGGGGAAATAATGACATGAAAGCCACCAGACAAAACTATCACACCCAAGATATTTAGGTCCCCATCATCAAGTCATTGCACTCTGTCAAACTCCTTTCCAACTCACTTCCCAGGCTGCCTCCCAATTTGAGATGGTCCCTATAGCCAATCTCAGCCTACCTTTCAGAGGAATTATCCACACCTCATATCAAGAGACAAGCTAAGAGATAATTCAGTTTGTCCTAGCAGCCTCGGAAAATGGAGACCTGTATCCTGCAGCCCCAATGCCGTTACTGACACTATCTGTCACCCAGGTGCGTGGAAAATACCTTTCTATAATCTCTGATCAGAGCACACCATTACAGACTGCATCGTAGTTAGTTCCCAGGCTCTGCCCCAACCAAGGTGCCCAGATCTATAACCTACTAGTTATACCAAACCTGAAATTCTAACCAGAACTAACATTTACTATCCTGGATGACTACATTTATACGTAAACAGAAGAAAAGAAAAGCATATACCCAAATGGGAGATTTGAGAACTATAACTTTCAGTAAATCTCACCAAATCCTTCAAAATAAAATTATAATTTATTGGATGGGAAGTTCATTATAATAAAACATCTGTTCTCTGACCCATAGCCAGCATGCTCAGGGGATACAGTGAACATCTCCACGAGGAATCAGGGATGGATAGCCACAGCCTCGTTGAGTTCCATCAGCCCAGTGGCCACGAGCACATTTGATCTTCCCACTATAAACCATGTTGATTTCCACATAAAACATGCTTCCTTGCTGAGATGACCAAGTGGGCAAAAAAAATCTATGATGCACAGAGCCGCCAGGTCAAATATAACATTTCTTCCCTTCATATTAACCTGAAAAAGTACAATAAATATAGAGTATATCACACTCTATGTGAGAGATCCTCTGTGCCCATCCCCAGGGTTACTGGTCCCACGCACAAGTCACTGGACGGTCCTTAAGCACAAAGGACAATGACCATGTGATGGCACTCAGAAAAGCCATTGTCTGAGAAGAGAAACGTTCTTGTTAGATCTATTAGATGAGCAAGAAAGAGAAGGAAGAACCCTATAAAATGTAATATCCATTTTAAATCAGGCTAGCATTTTCAAAAAGCCTACGGTACAAACTGTAGAGTGTCAAAATTATAAAATTATCTCCCTATGCAGATGTAGCTTCCCAGAAAAGTAAAACACATTCAGAGTGGGCTGTTGACTCGCCACCATCTCCCATGCCAAATCTGGGTTATCTGAGGCACTTCTTCAAAGACTTCAACCTCTGCTATTAACAGCTGGACACCCCACCCCCAATCAGAGAGTCCTGCAAGAAGTTATATCATTTCTTTTACTTAGCTCATCCTTCCAGACCAACCCAAACTTGCACAGAAAAAGGGCACACTGTCCTCCTAGTAGCTCTGTGACTCTCTACAGCCAATGCAAATGTCAGTTTCACAAGGTGTCATAGAGCACAAGCAATCAAAACCCTCAAGCATGCCAAATGTACCACGCACACTGAAAGGACATCAGTACCCAGTCTCAAAGTTGGTCTTGACATGTTCCTGAATAACATTCTTTCTTTTCTTTTTTTTTAAACCTGGTCTTTACAAAGAGCAGAGAAGTACATCTGAAACTAGTCAACAGCACAGGGGATATATTACTCAACTACATACACGCTAATCACTTGGGTATCTTGTTATAACGTAGATTCAGCTTCACCAGTCTGAAATGGGCCCCAGGATTCTGAATTCTTAAGCTAACTTGAGACAGATGCAGCTTCTTACTCTTTGAGATGCAAGAATCTAAACAAAGGACTTCATTTTGAACTAAGGCTCTTCCCTTTGGGTGTGCTAAAATTCCCAAAGGATGCCTTTAATAATAATAGGTAATGTTTATTGAGTAATTTTTTAATGTTCTAGTCACTTGACATACAGCAACTTACTTAATTCTCCCAGTAACTTATTAACATTGCCATTTTACAGTCAGGGAAACTGAGTCATGGAGTAATGGAGTAACTTTTCAAGGTCACAGAGCTTCTGAAGGAAATAGGACTTGAACTGAGGTGGCCCAACTTCAAAGCTTTTGGGGTAGCCACTACGCACACTGACTCTCAGGACAAAAACAGCAAGCTATTTCAGGAAACGAAATGGATATTGTGCAAGCGAGGACAGGGGAGGCTGGGAACTTAGATGCAGATTTGGAGGAAACGCAGAGCGCACTGAAGTGCAATGTTTCCATGCAGTCACCACCAGAGGGAAGGTATCAGTCAATTATGTTGTACAGCTAAAAAAAAAAAAAAAAAAATGTATTTTAAATTTTCCAACCAGGCTGCGCTAAACACCTTAGCAGATGTTCTCTGAACAATTTTACAACAGCCCACACGCTGTAGAACCACTGTAAAATATCCAACTTGTGGGGAAAAAGACCATTGGGACCGGGCTTGTGGCCAAGACACTGAGCGTGATGCTGAAATTGACGCCCTGGAGCAGCTCTTCTCTGACTCTCTTTAGTCCATTTTGGCCAGAGATAAGGAAAGGGAGGAATAAGACCCAAAACTGCACCTTGCGCTCCCATAGTCTGGCGGGAAGGCGGCGTCTCTGCAGCGGAGGAGAAAGCTCGTGAAGGGGCAACCGCATGCTGTATGAAGCATGCTTCATTTCCCAACCAAGGAAACAAGGCCCAGCCGGAAGTGCACTAGGTGCTGAACCCAAGTGAATGGGGAACCCACGTCCGATAGAGGAGTTGCGGGTGGCGCTGTCCAAGGTGCCAACGGCGGCAGCTGGCACACTTTGCCAACCGCGGGGTGGCTCAGAGCTTTGTCTATCTACCGCAAGGAAACGTGAAAGCTCCGGTCTGAATAAACACTCCCAGAGAAAGGGACACAGCAAAGTGGCACTTGGTGGGTGGGGAAATTTAGAGAATGGAAGAAGGCGGGGAGGCGGGGGGCCCAGCGGGGAAATCGTAGAGATCAGCCCAGAGGAGTTATTTGCAGCCGCAGCACGCAACACAATGAGATCTGTCCGCTTTGTGCAGCTCACGGGCAGCTGTGATTGCAGGGACAGGACCCCTCCCCCGCCTCAAGCCTCCACCTAGGAACGTTCAACTCTGGCACTGTATGGGCCGTGATCACTCTGTAGGGGTGAGAAAGGCAGGGGAGAGTGCAGGGAAGAGGTGAGAGGGAGAAGCCCAGTCAGGGGTGGTTGTGGGAGGGTGCGAATAGCGGCAGGAAGAATATCTGCTTAGAGACACTCCTTCGTTTCTAATGAGGGGTGCTGCCTAGAAGCACCAGGCGCCAGCCAATCACGGAGCTGCTGAAGCAGGAAAGTGGGGAGGAGAAGGGAAGGCCAGAGATTGAGGTGGGGGTGGCAGAGAGATGCCCAGGTCCCAGAGAAAGCAAGCCCTGAGCCTAGCTGATACTAGTGACCCCGCCACTCCAACTCCCACTGCTGCACACCTGGAGCGTGGGGGTAGGGAAGAAGGAACACAGAGGAGGGGCTTTCTCTGTAGGTGCATCCTTCCCAAGAAATGCTTCTCCATGAGCATATCAAAGTCTCTGTCCCCAAGCCCACCCCCATATTTAACACTACATCACTAGCCTGCCTCCTACAAATCCCACACACACCACCACCACCCTGTGTTAGTAATGGCCTCATCAGGCATCCAAATCCTTAGTGAAGAATAAGGCAATGAGATGCCTAGTCAGCAGCCTGCATTTGGTGTGCTGGATCAAACCTGCAAAGCAGCTCCTTCCACGCCTATTCACCCTGACACCACCATTGTCAAAGATGCTTCACTGGCTCCCAGTGAACACAGATCTCTTTGCAACTACAGACAGATTGCTTGAACCCCTCTGGCCCTCAGCTGGCAAATTCAGGCCCAGAATGTCTGTCTGATCCCAGATACTCAGAGAACAACCAGCTGAGTTAAGAAAACCAGGATCATGAAAAGGATGGGCCCAAAGAACCAGCTGCCCTCAGCTGAGAAGAGAACTCCAACTTTGAATGGTGGTGACAGAGATCACATCCACTGACACACACTCACTCACTCCACCTTCAGAGGAATTTAAACTTAGTTCCCAGCCAAAGACTTCTTTTATTTATTAATTTGTCTATTTGCATATACAGTTTTGGTCCAGTGCTCTTGGAGGTTCGGAAATGACAAATCCTCTCCCAGCTCCTCCACTTGCCTCCTGGTAGACTGCAGGTGTCTCCCCAGCTGGTAGGAACAGGGACAGAGGAGTTGTCGTGAAGGGTTGAAATGGGAGGTGGATTATGAAAGAAAGCCGGGGATGAGGGGCTACCCAGCTCTTTCTAGAGTGCAGCTTGAGGAAGGACTGAGGGGGCTGGGATGGCTGGGATTCACAGAGCCCAGCCCCCAAAGGGGTAGATACTGCAATATCACACACCCAGGGACACCAGAGATTTTCACACAGGAAAATTCAAAAACCAGAAGTCTTACCTTGAAAAGCACTAGTGCCCAAACAGGTCTCCAAAGCACCCAGCTTGCCCCTTAGATGCAACGGGGTAGCGAGTGCACTCCAGCAAAGGGGCAAACTGGCACCAGGAAGGAGGGGTAGGGAGTCAACTCCATGCTAGGTTCCCCCCTCACCCGCAGAAATGCAGAAGGGGAGAGGGGAGTTATGGTGGGCAAGAAAGGATATGGCCAATCGATGAGCTTCTTGGCGTATTTCCTGACAATGTTATCTTCTCCGAAGATGAACAGGGATCTGTTGACGGTGAAACAGTTCTGCCGGACGGGAATGGGGTTGTACAAAGCCATAGTCCGCGCCCTCTGCGCTTTCGACTGCTTGTAGGCGGCTGCCGGCCCCGAGACCGGCACTGGGGTTCCTTGCCGGTTCCTGCTCTGGTCCGAGTCTCCATCTCCCGACCCCGGCCTGCCGACCACCGCCTCCCCGAAGCGAGCCATCCTGAAGTTTAAACAGACAGAAGACACACAAAGGTGATCGCCGAACACCTGCACACAGCAACAAGCAGAAAGACACACGGAGACTCAGAGCCGCATCCAGACCGGCGCAGGGACCACCGCCTCTAGGGAGCCCTGCGAGCTCTCGGGAGAGGCGGCAGCAAGCAGCCTCTCCGCTCTGAACTGTTGAATCTAAATACAACCTCCGCGATGCTCCATTCCTCAAGAAGGAAAAAAAGGGGGAAGGGCTTGGGGGTGCTCAATTTCTGGAGGCAATTTTTTTCCCTCAAAATGCCAGTGTGTAGCGGTGGCGAGGGGCCGGAGAGGAGACGGCTGAAGTAGGCTGCTCTTCAAACATAGCTCCTCTCCTGGCAAGCGCACCACCTAGCTCAGGGAGAGAGGCAGGCACGGCCCGGCCCGCTAGGTAACAGTTTGGTGATTTATTGGTTGGGGGGAGGGGTAGGAGGGAGGGGAAAATGAAAACAAAAGAACTTTGGGGGAAAAAAAAAAAAGACGAGGCCCAGTTACGGTGACATGCTTTATAACGCCAGCTCCTACAAGTCCATCTAAGAAATTCCACAGCCAAGACTTGGGTCTTTAAATCTGCCAGCGCAGATGCATCCAAAGGTTGGAGAGAGAAGGAGGGAGGGGGAGAGCACTACTGAGGTTCCTGCGTAAACCGCAACGCCCAAAATATCGAAATCACAAGTCGATCCAGCCGGAGAGGGACAAATGACTTCACAGCTCCTGCGTTTCGGGTAGAAGTTGAGCAGCATCCAGAGAGCAGCGAAGCCCGAGTGCCAGCATCCGCCCGGAGCGCTCGCCGCTGCCGCCGCCGCCTCCCGGATCAGCATGCAACAGCGATCCGCGGCTGCGCCGGCAGAGGGCGGGAGCGCGAGAGGGCGGGCGCTGGGGCGAGGGAGGAACAGGTTGCAGCCAGCCTAGCGGTGGCCCAGCAGGGACTTATCCAGGACCAAACTTCCTCTCTAAGAACGGCATCTTCCTCTTCCACCCAGCTGCACAGAGCTGAACAAACAGAAGGAGAGTGGGGTGGCTGGCTCTCAGGGAGAGCCCTGGCCGAGCCAGAGGCGCAGCGAGGAGGCTCTCGAGCCTGGGGGACACGGGGGAGGGGCGGGATATGGCCGGAAGGCCGGAGGGTCCCGGGCGGCGAGCTGGTTTATCTTGTTTGACCAACCAGTACCCGGCCACTCTGAATCAGTCCAAGAGGAGTCACCTTCCCCCCAGTGATGCCAAGAGGTTAGCGCAGCAGCACCGCAGTTTCCTCAAGAGAGTGGGGCACCGGCGGCGTGGAGCGCACAGACACGTGGTCCTCGGGGCCCCGCAGAGAGGGGTCCCCAGTGCTGTGCCGTGCCCCATTGCGCAACTGACGCGGTGCTGAGCTCGCAGTCGCCCTAGAGGGGAGTCCCTGCCTTAGCGCTCTGCACGCGGCTCACCGGGACTGCATGACTGCTGCTAGGCACCTCGCTGGCTCCACGCACAGCGCCGGGGATTTCCACGGGAAAGACAGCACCCTGGCTCCATCGCCCCACTCAGCACCCAGGAAGCCCAGTGGGAAGGCCAGGGTCTCTGAGGGCGCCTCTCTGGAGGAGCCTCTGCCCTCTTCCTGATGGCACCAGCTAGGGCAGCCTCCTGGGTGCGACTCCAGCAGTGCCCGGTGCCTGACCTAGAAGGGTTCCAGATGTCACGGGGTTAGCTGGCGATGGCTGAGCTAAAACTTGCCTTCTCACAGTTCTAGCGGAGGGCCTCTCCTGCTCCCGCTTTTACTCCAGACAAGCTCCACTGACTTGCCTGCACCTACTCTAGTTAAGAAAAATTAAAAAAAAAAAAAAAAAGCAAAAGTGGGATCTGAGAGTAGCAGAGCTGGAAAAGGGAGCCCACAAGCCTGAAAAAAAAAAAATCACCCCCTTATGTAGCACCCAAGCCTCCTACATGTGATTAAGTGCTTTACACTGAGGAGAGGTACAGGCCATCCTCTCCTATGTCCACACTAGCTGGAGCACACCTTCCTCTTCTTGTTACACATAGTTGTACCCAAATCCTGCCCAACAGAGCCATGGAAAGACGGGGGCGAGGAAGGAATCAGGCTGACCGGAGCCCAGAGGTTGGAAGGCGTGAGTACAACCTTGGCTGTGGGAACGGCAGTATCTGTGCTTATGAGGGTGTCTGGTGCAGGGTGAGGTAACTCCTGAGTGGAAGTGTGTCTGGAGGTGGGGGAGGCCATGTGAGCACTGACTCACGTCTGTTGTGCGAGAATGGGTGTGCGTGTGTGCCTGTGGGTGGGAGTGTGTGACTGCACACATTTGGAGGGAAATGCTTTGAGGCCAAACCCAAAAGAAGGTCTCAGCCTGTCACCCCCAACCAACACTGCTGACCTTGGGGACAGCATGTTGACTTTTTGATTCTTTTTTTTTTTTTTTTTTTTGCAGAACCGAGGATTGAACTCAGGTCCTTGCACTTGCCAGGGAAGCATTTATTCTACTGAGCCATCTCCCCGGCCCTCACTTTTTGATTCAAAGGAGCCCATTGCAGGCCAAATTACTATTCAAGGTGAATCAGTTCTGATTGTTATTTTGAGTTCCTTTTACTGCCTTTCTGAGTCCTTTCTCCTGGCTTAATTGGAAAGTCCTCTTCTTTCTGAATACTTAGTCAAAAGTGAAAGGACTGGGGTTTATGCTGTGACCAGGAAGTCCCTCAGTCAGACAGTAATTTAAAACCAGTCACAAGTGGGTATCTCAGTGCCCTGTAAATTTCACAGGGCCAGAAAGGGCTTTCTGAAATTATCAAGTATATGTCCCTGCTTTCCAGGAGGATCACAGTTCTTAGCATAAAAATCCACTCAAAGCATTCATTTGAAAAATATTTGCATGTGTCTTTCATGTGGCAGGCACTGTTTTAAACACTAATGACTAGATAATGAATAAAATGGAGAATGGCATAAAGAATGTATCTTCTTAGCATGAATCAAATTGTGTAGACGCACTGGCTAGACTGTTACAGACTCCACACTCACGCTAAGACTGTTCCCCTTTCCTTCCTTCACCCTCATATCTTGGTGCCTCTTTGTTGACACCCAGATTAAGCAGGGCTCCCTGTCTTTTACCTCCCAGAAGTGATTGTTGCAAGATCAGGGGCCCAGACTTGTCTCATCGATGCCACCCACTGAGCAAAGATCCAGTACTAATTCCTTTTCTCATCTTACCAATGCCCTATGTTTTCTGTGGCTGCTGTAATTATTGAGAGATCTGGACAACTCACGACAGGATATTCCACATGGAGTCCTGAAGGCACCCCACCTCCATCCCCCCAGATGAGATCTGCCTTCCTGCCCCTGGAGGGATAGGCTTCACAAGTACATGCTGGGAATCACGTGGAACACACTGGGAGGGAATACCTGTGCAGGGGGGTTTAAAAGGAGGATTCTGGGAAAGTGTAGTTGAAGAGGGCGGGGCAAACATGGTAGCATCAATGGCCTTGGGAGGAACATGTCCTACAGGCAGTTGGACTGATATGGCATATTCTCTTCTTTACTCCTCATTTGGCTGTCATGGCTTTTGAGAGCTTCCAAATCTATGAATTTCTATACTGGTTTCTTGCTCTCCACATTCTCATTCTCCCAGCCAACAGATGGCTATAATTTTATTGATCAAATTTTTAAACGTATTTAATTAATTTATGTAAACCTTACAGCTGGCCCTCACCACAAACCTCTGAGGTCAGCCTGGCAATACATGATTATGCCCCTTAGGTGATGTACAAAGCAGCCGAGCTGAAGAGCTGTGGAATTTTCTCAGGCCTGATAAGAGGCAGTGCGAACTTCTAATAACTCTGCCTTCTGGTTTCTAGTACCCATGCTGCCAGACTCTAGACGATTCATCCACAAGAGAAGAAATGCTGCCGTGACACTCAGCCTAGGGAAACTGTGTGCCTGCCATCCTCAGATTGAATCTGACCAGTGGCCAAATGCTCCTGGCACCACGCTGGGATGGCACTTCTTGGAACACGGCTGCTACCCTCAGGAGACACAATTGCCATCATGCCCCCAAAGGGAATGTGGTGGGCATTTGTCTTCCAGTCCCCTTCAAGCCCTGTAAGTGGAAATGTGGAAAATCAGCAACCAAACTGACAGGAAACCACTTTGAAGACCAACCAGCTAAAAATCCCTTTCTAGCCTCAGGAACCATAGACATCATTTTCCTGTTGTCAGAGCACCACCTACTGGCCATTTGTGAGACATCACTGTAAGCACATGCAAGTCCCAGTGTCCCACACGTGTCTCAGAACCCAGGCATTCCTAACAGTTGATCTCTGGCCACCAGCCCTCTGCTCCCTTATAGGAATATATGAGGTTCAATCCCTAAATTTCAGAACAGTGTAAACAGCCCACCTTACAGTCCCTGAAAAGTACAACTCCACATACTGGACGTAGGTCACTACCACACATTACACACGAAAGGCAAGACACAGCAGCAAAATGCCTTCTGTGTTTTTCTGCAAGTAGTGACACACATGTTAAGGAGCCAAGCAGAAGCAAAAGGACTGAGTGAAAAACTTTCCCAGATTATTGATCCCGTGCAGATTATTAAATTTCAAAGCTTTCATGCTATTTCTCCACTACTCGAACCATCCAAGATGCAAGCAAGAGAGATAGGTATTAATGGATAATCCCTTCAGCCTTCTCTGTAAATGAAGAAGGACAAGGTTGGTCACAGTGTCCTCAGATTGTACAGGCCACAGGAGCATGTACAGTTCCAAGAAGATAAATATAGGTGGCAAGGTTGGAGAATTGGTCAGCCTACTCCCCAATTCATGAAGCTTCCCAGATCTGGGATCTGGGATCTGGGCCCTTTTCCCATGGAACTTTAGCTCATCACTAAGGAATCTGCAAATCCGAGCCTCCTACAAAAGGAGGCCTCCTATGTGCCCTCTCACCAGCCTTGCTCTCTCATCTGCCCCCACCATGCCAGTTACTCTCAGATAGCTTATGCTTAACTATCGGAGCCCCTTTTGTTCTATTTTTCCCCTGTTGAGCTTTTCCAAGAAATAGACTCTTATGCAAAACAGTGCTCTAAGGAACATAATGCAGAGAGGATTTGGGAGTGGGTTCTTAAGAAAAAGGTTGGCAAGAAACCATGTGCAAATGCATAGCAAAGCAGAGGAGCAGGATGGCAATGCAGAATCTTGGGAGTCTGCTGGCTTTCGCAATGCCAGGCAGCCCTCACTTGGGTGCAAATGTAACTTCCCGTCTTTATGTAATGTCCAGCTGTAGAATCAGCATCTTTCAAACCTATGCCTGAGAAACCCCGCAGCTTCAACTCCCTAGCAGCTAGCAAGAAGTCCCCAAATCTTGCACAGAGATACCTTTAAAATCATTCATCGATGACAACTCAG